TTTCTTCCTTTCTGTCTTTCTCTGTCTCTCTGGAAAGTGCATGCGCCCCATAGCAAAAATCTCTCTTGAAAAAAAAAAGAATTAAGAAAATGCTTGATATTAAACTCATGAAGACAGAAAGTAGATTAGAGCTTATCAAGGGCTGAGTGTAACGGCAAGTTAGTGCTTAATGAATACAGACTTGTTTAGGTTGATGAAAAAAGAAGAATGCCTGGTATTACGATAGTCTCTCTGGCATTTCCTTCCCACTGGGGGGAAAAATTATAAGAAAAAGTCAAGGAAACAACCAGGCAGCAAAAGGAATGGAGGTGAGAAGCAAGAAGGCTTGTCCGTGGTGTGACTACAGTAAGGCTTCACGTGTTAGCTACTGATTGACAGCGACTTACTTGCCTGGTGAGCTCTTTGTCCCACTAGGACTCTTTTTTTCTGGAGAGGTTTTCGCTATAGGGCGCGTGTGCTCACCAGACAAAGAGAGACAGAGAGACAGAAAACGAGAGTCCCCACAGGGGTGCGGGGTGGTGGTGGTGGTGGTGATTTCTTGCTTTCTGTCTTTCTCTGTCTCTCTGGAAAGTGCATGCGCCCCATAGCAAAAATCTCTCTTGAAAAAAAAAAGAATTAAGAAAATGCTTGATATTAAACTCATGAAGACAGAAAGTAGATTAGAGCTTATCAAGGGCTGAGTGTAACGGCAAGTTAGTGCTTAATGAATACAGACTTGTTTAGGTTGATGAAAAAAGAAGAATGCCTGGTATTACGATAGTCTCTCTGGCATTTCCTTCCCACTGGGGGGAAAAATTATAAGAAAAAGTCAAGGAAACAACCAGGCAGCAAAAGGAATGGAGGTGGGAAGCGAGAAGGCTTGTCCGTGGTGTGACTACAGTAAGGCTTCACGTGTTAGCTACTGATTGACAGCGACTTACTTGCCTGGTGAGCTCTTTGTCCCACTAGGACTCTTTTTTTCTGGAGAGGTTTTCGCTATAGGGCGCGTGTGCTCACCAGACAAAGAGAGACAGAGAGACAGAAAACGAGAAATCACCCCCCAGGGGGGATGGTCACGCCGTAATCCCTTCTCCTCCGTTCTCCTCTCGGGATCTTGGGCACGCACGCACACGCGCCTGGCGTGAGTTTTAAGCCACTGGGTCCGGGACGCGAACTGCGGTTGACTACGTGGGAGTCCAGCAACATAGCCATTATGCTAACTGCTGGTTCCTTCCCACTAGGACTCTTCTCCTTACTAGTTTTGCAATGGCCATTTTGTCTTCCCACTGTGGGATAAGCAGTGGCCCCTACTTCACTAGACAAATTTGCAGCCTTTTTCCCCCTTCACTTTTTTGTAGACCTCAGCAGAAAATCTTTTCTCTTGCATTTTTTCTTTCTCTGCATTTACTGTTAAGCACTAGCAATCATGTGAGAATTGGATTCTCATGAAAGATAAGCCAGGAAGGTCTAGACAATTTCCACTGGCTTCATCTCATTTATCTTCAAAACCATTGTAGGTACACCTATAAATTATGTTATTGCTTACAAACACATTTTCTTTTCTTTTCCTTTTTTTGCTAGAGAGTATGTGCACTTGCCAGAGAGGAAGGGAGAGGAAAAACACTCCCCAGGAGGAATGGTCACCCACAATTACTTTTCCTCTATTTCTCCATCCTTTTGGGATTTGGGGCAGGCTCATACACATGGCTAGCACATACAGACACATGCCTGGTATGTATGCACGCATGGCTGGCATGTTTCTCAAGCTACCAGAGAGAGCTAGGATTCTAACCATGTAGTTGGCCATGTGAAATCTGGCTGCCTTAACCACTGGGCATAGAGCCAGTCCCAGACACACTCTTCCTATAAGGTAAAAACTTAAAGGAAAAAAAATGGATTAATTTTTATTTATTAAAATAAAAAAATATCAACTAGCAATGAAGTGCTCTAATTATCAGATTAATCAAGAAGCAATGTGAACTTAAAACTAGTCAGTATGCCCTTTGCTTTTCATTCCTATAATTTCAGTAACTGTTACCACCTGTCTTGCCATTTCTTCTGTATTTGATCTTTCACTTCATTTCTGTCACCTCCATATATTTACGACACTGCCCTCACGTCAGCAGATACAAATACCAGAACGACGCAGCAAAGGAGAAAAACAGTGCTGGGAGTCACAGACCTGGACTCTGGCCTGGCAGCACCATGAACGGTCTGTGCACCCCATGGAGCCACTCCATCTCTTCAGATTTATTTTCTTCATATTCAAAGGAGGGGATGCCACAGGATCTGCTGAGGTGGCTTAGCAGTACAAAGAGGGGCTTACTGGTTTTCTAGAATCTGAGGGTGAGGAGGGTGAGGGTGTTTATAGAGACAGCTGAGGATCTGTGTGGCAAAGGCTAGAGGAAAGGTGTACTGGCCACAAGCTGGGTTTGCCATTGCTCGAGGGACACCAGGCTGCTCAGGAGGGTGAGAAGGGCCAATTTCCTTCTCTTGAAGCTGTGGTAACTGCTCATATGACCCTTCCTCTCAGGGTGTCAGGATGAAGGAGAAATCAACTTTCTTTAGAACTGAAAGACTTACACAGAGAGGTTGTGGTGGATGTTGTTAAGTATGTTGGGGAAACGATAAGACTGGGGAGTTTAGGGTTTAGGAATTTAGCCTTGTGGGTCTAGATATTTCATTTGGCCCAGAAAACACATAGAAATCAGAAGGCCACTTTACAACAAGGGTAGTAACTGTTAAGAAACTAAAATGATGACAGCTTGTCATCTTACTTCTCAGTAGGAAATCCAGTAGGGAAACAATTCACCTCCAAAGATTGCCCAGTGAAAACAGATCAGAGAACCAAAGGCTTTCAAACTGTGATTGCCTATTGAACTGCCCTTTGTTGCCACAGAAATGTGTCCTGAGGAGGTCAGAACCTGTTCTCCACCAGATAAGCATGAATACCCTTCCTTAACTATTCTTTTTTTCTGCATTTCACCAATCTTCCAACTGCTATAACTGATAATTGATAAAATCTTTTTTCTTTCCCGTTCTTCCATTCAGTCAGAGAAGAGAACCTATTGCCAGTGTCTTGACGGGCAGGTATTTATTCTCTGTCCGTGAAGATGGCGCCCTTTCTTCTAAATAAACCATTAACTAAATCACATTCGAGGATGCCAGAGAGCTCTTGACAATATTTAGTGAAGAGCTCATTGAAGTGGTAGTAAGTGGTTGTGAAATGGAGACTTTTGGAGGCTGCCAGTGGGAGATGATGTTCCATCTCACGGGGAGGGCTCTGATACCTTTCATACCATAGGAGGAAAAACCAAGGCTGCTAAGCATCCTAGCTCAAACCACTTGTTACCAGCCAGTGAACAGCCTCGCTGGGGTATTCTTCACAGTCCAAGATCCTCAGCCCCCGGAGTATGAATCAGAACAATGGAGGAGTCAGACATGTAACTCGCTAGAGAGCTTGGGACAAGTGGGATGACAGGAGATCACAAGCCAAGCGCTTGACAGCTTATCTGGAGAGTTGGCTCATCCATATTTGCTTCCAACATCTCTGAATCACAAAGTCATAGTGAAACCACAGCAAGTAGGGTAAGTGCTCCCTAGATCTGGACTCCCCTATGCAGATCAGTTGTTGGTACTGGAATTTTGGCCTCTTCTGTTTGAAAGTAAGAATTAATTGCTAGGTGGAATTCCAGCTCCTAATCTGAAAGATGTCTGCATGAAGCATGAGGGCAACCCAGAGAAGGCCGAGGTTTCCAAAACTGAGGTATTCCTTTTGGACAAATCTGACCCAGCTGCCTGAACTATGGGT